ACAGGCGCAGAACCGGGAAATTTACATATTTTAATGCACATATGTGTACATTTACTTTGCACCTTTACTCATTTTGGAACATTTTCATTTGCTGCAGTGAAGCTAAAGGTTAAGATAAGTAAAGTTAACCAGTTTCAGATATTAAAATGATTCTGAGTCCAAAACAAAGCAGGACTGTTTCATTTTCTATGAAGTTGTGTTAAAACTCAGGGAATCGGGAGGTGTGAAACCCGGACCGACAGATAAAATAAAAACTAATTATCCTGAGTAACCAAGCAGTTGGAACAACACAGGCAGAGGTGTTTTCATACTGATCATGTTGCTTGATAAACTGTTTAACTTCTAATTAAACGACAAGCAGTGACAGAGTGAGCTGTCTCATCACAACCTGGTGCTGTTCCTACGAGTTATTCTAATCCAGATTAGCAGTGATTGATGGGCGCCGAGTCGCTGCTCTGCAGATGCCAGTTTAGGAATTGCTAAGTCTCCCAAAGAAACTCCACAGGTGCTCCAACCTCCCAGAATCCCACTTGCCTTGCGGTGGTAGTTTAAAATTCTCTGGTTGCGGCCCGGGCTTCGTTGTGTTTGTCTAATTGGTCGCACCCGTGGCAGTCTGGATAAAATGTAAGACCTGCCTGTTGGGGCTGGTAGGGGGTCCACCACCCTTACTACTGGAGCTCCCTGCTCTCACTTTTGTTCCACTGAATTAACTTGATTTTTTGCTCCAGATATATTTATTTCTTTAGTCGAGCAAAAGTGCATTTGATCATTTTCTGTCTGTCCCTGTTAGCGTGGGATGAGGTGCTGCCGGGCTGCAGCCTGCCTGCCGGGTGGCTGAAGGAAAGCGACTTTAAAACAGGATGAAATCTAAAAAAATGAATAAACTACGAAGCAAACTCATACATCTGCTTAAAAAAGTCAACAGTTGCATAATTACTGCGGGATGAAACTTCAAATCAACACGTCAGGATGGGGATCTCCACTTTAGCTTTGGTTGAATTTAGCACAGCATGGCAGTGTAGCTAGCGGTTGCAGGTATACCAGTTTCAGCTGTCTCATGAGCCATATCTATTGTTCTTTTATTGATCTTGCAACATATTAGAAACAGAAATTTGGTCCAAATGTGGGTACATTGCTTGGTGAGACTACATGTCAACAACATGTTGTTGGAGGTGCAAACACAATGGTCAAGCCCACAGCTGTGATCCACAGGTCCTCCTTCAGACAAGCATTTTTGTGACAACTCTGATTCTTGGTATGCACCGTGGACATGTGATATCAGTAGACGTTGATCACAAATTTGAAGTATGTTCTTTTTCCACATTTGGTGAAAGGCAAAAACAAATTGCACAATTAATAAACTGAGCTGTGAAAACTATAAAAACGACAAGCTAAAGTGGTTTGTTTGGTTTAATTCTGATTGTTTCTTTTTCCAGGGGGCCTGCGAGGTACATGAGGTAGGGAATGGCTGAAATCAAACATGTTTGCTCGTCCATCTCGCTTTTATGGAACAATAGAGCAACTCTTTGTAGATCAAGTTAACTAGTTTTTTATTTTTTCACGCGGCGGAGTCCTTTCCAACGCGTTTGTTGTGGTGTCTAGTACAAATGAATGCCTTGTGGGAAAAAAGCTCTGGCACTCCTGTTTCAGGAACTAGAAGTCAGTCAGAGCGGTGGTGAGCAGAAAACAAGTCTTATTTCCTGATATTTGGGCATCTCGCCTCTGATTGGCTAACAACTACGTGACCCTACCACTGACCCCGAAGCTAATGCTAAATGTTAGCTTCTACTAGCTGAGGCATCATCTACTCTCTCCTAGACGCTAAACCAACAACAGCCTTCCCCTTCTAGAGCCAAGATGGGCGAGTCCATGAATGCGGACTTTCAGTGTGACGTGGAATCGACTGGCTTTTCTAATCCAAGCATGTCCCTGTCTATTTTCTATCGGCGACTAGCGCACGTGGTAGAGGTGGACGACTGTTTTCACATTTAGCCTGCATAAGAGTGACCACTCTTCAAAAATAACAAGTAAAGCACTGTTTCTCAGTGCAATTAGTCTTTGAACTTTGCGAGCTCCTCTGCTGGAGTTTTCCAAGCTGGAACGTTTGAAAGGAACTTCTATTTGTTCACTTGTGTCAAAAAAGAAAAGCGCCTTCTAAACTAGAGGGACCGTAAGTGTATTTCTTAATAAATGTCATATTTTGGAAGGAGATCAGTTGAAACATTGAACTTTTTTCTGCTTATTTTATACATATACAATTTAAGGGACCAGCGAACCCTTCCCAGCTACCATTACCATAGCTGCGGAAGGGTGATATGCAATTTCATGGTGTGCAATATGATTTTTGAGGCTCTTAAGTGAGATATTTAATTGCCATGCTTTACATTCCAACTATGCTCAGCTGCATATGTAAGGAAAAACTGTGATTGTGACTCCACGGATACGTGCATGCGGCCAAAGCTCCTAAATCACGTCTCACTGACACCGTTTGGATTGACGGGTTCGTTGTGAACCTCTTTGGTTGGGTCAGCTGCTGCTCTGAGGAAAACTGCACAAGCAGTGTTCAGTCTTGGTTGCAACGATTGCTTTTTTTCCTCCCTGAGAAAAACACATTCCTTGTGAGGAGTCCAGCAATAAAAGCTGGCTTACGCAGCGTTGTGGTGACTCCAGGCTCTTGAGCGGTCAGCAGGGGAGGGGTTACGCCGGGGTTAAAATAGACCCGGTTCAAGTGTGTAACAGAACCCTCTCCATGTGTATGAACAGTCACAGAACACCGATGCTTCTGGTGGACAACGAGGAACGTTTGCTAAAGCACGAGACTGTCTCCTTACAGACTTGTCAGATCTATTTACTCACATGCAAATATTGCAAACACAATTCATCTCATTGGCAGACGGGACTAGATGATGAAAAATGTTGCTATTTCATAGGTCATAGTGGTCAGCCAAACTCATTCCAGCAATGACAGAATACACAACATGTTTTTACATGTTGGTGAAAACTTATCAGCCTACTCCTGCAGCTCTACTAACTACTACAGTGTTTGTTCTCCCAATTCCTGTTGGGAGTAAAAAAGAAAAGACTTCTAAGGATTCTTTCCTGCAAAGCCGCGATTGTTTAAAACAGGTATCAAAGCAAAGAACAAGGGGATTATAAGGTAAGAACGGTTTGAAAAGTTTCTATGGATCGGTTCGCGCTTCTTCTTTCTGTCATGTTTGCTCAGCTTATTGTAACTGAATGGTGGAATCAATGGTAACTGCTGCAAATCAAAGCTAATTACGGCGTCTTATCTGCAAAAGAGAGAGCCACCAACTTCTCCGAAACCTCTTTTCAAGCCTAAAGGCGCGTGAGTGCTTCATATGCTAACGAGAGAGATTTTCAATAGTGAAAACCACTGAAAGACATCAGGCAGCACACTTGGCAATCCTACGGTAACAAAAGAGCTTCGCCCAATTATTAGCTGCCAAACATGTAGCTGCTCTGCTCCTGGAAAAACACAAAATAAGCCATTGTTACGTTCGCTGACCTGCAACCCTCCGCAAGCCTTCGCTTCAATTCTCTCTTCTGTTCGCAGATTGAGTAATAAATTACAGTGTTTACTTTTTCTTCCTCTTCCTCCCCCTTTTCTGCTTTTGTTAACTTCAGTTTCATTTTTCTCTATCAGCTTAAATCAAACTTCACTCTTGCCTCAACCTCCTTTTCAACTGGCAATAAGCTCCACCTGCTAGAGGTCTGAAAAGGCTACTTCCCTATCACTGTAGCATCCAAGACGTCGGAAACCCCTCCTGCAGATAAGCACTTTGGCTTTGTTCATAGTTAACGGGCAAAAGGAAGGGGGGACTCGGAAAAGTGTGGAAAACTGATTGGAAAGCATGAAACGGCAGGTGGCGCTGGCAGGAAGGTGAGGTGGCCGCTCACGAGGATCGGACAGCACGGTGGGTTGGAGGTGAGGAAAAGCAGCAGAAATGGGTTTGTTTCAAAAGGCTCACCATCTTTGGTAGCTTGGATAAGGGAGCCCTTGTGTTTCCAAATGATGGTCGGTGGTGGGGAGCTCACAACGTCGCAGACGATATCAGCGATGTCGCCCTCGTTGAACTCCTGCGGACTGGGCGCTCGCTGGAAGGTGATCTTTTCTGTAGGAAAGCCAGACAGTTTCATCCATTAAAACTTATGTAAACATTACATTAGAGCTGGCTTTTCTATTTTTACCAACAGATCACGGATGTTTTTGTGTTTTTGAAGCCCCGGTCTTTTCAGAGGAAAGTCAAATAGAAAGCAGGTGTGGTATCGGTGCTCAGAGACCAATATTCTGCATGTTTTAGTTATTTCCTGGCCTCAATGCCCCTGATTAAAAATGTTCATTTACTTCCTGAGCTTGTTAAAGTCTACAGAAACACGCAGATTCATTAAAATCAGGTGTGTGGAAGCAGAGAAATACCTTAAACATGCAGGATCATGGCCCAAAATATCACCGATGCCCACCTCTGTGCTGGTGACACATCGTGCTCATGTGTTTCATGCTAAAATTACAAAATACAAATATCTCCCAGGACGGTCAGCACTGGTAGGAGGCACAACATTATGAGAAATTCTGCAAACGTTCAATTGGAATCTGACGTTTTTCAATGTTTTAGTGACAATTTTCACATATTCACTCACCTTCATGGTAAAATGCATTCAATTTTAAAGTGTTTTTGTTGCATTACATCATTTGTTTTGGTATTGTTTGCTCACTTTTTGTCATTTGTTTCTCTGAATAAATGCATCAGTTAATTAATATATAACTTGGAAAATTAGAGAAATGCTCCCTGGCATGCCGCGCCTAACTCTGCAGACCAGTTCAACCCTCTTTTGCGTAAACTTGGCAGAAACTTCCAACTCATTCATATCAGTTATGTTAACCGCTGGTAGGTGGGTTCATCAAACACAAATGGAAAACTCCTGACCAGACTGGTTAAGAAGAAAAAACACACGTACAACGCATGTGCACCTCCAGTAGATAGGCAGGACCAGTAAGCACAAAAACAATGTCATTTGAGCAAAATCATGCTAAACAGAAGGATATGCTGCCTTTAAATAATAGTAACAAGGGGTGTTAGGTCAGCTGACATGGAGACACTTAAAGTGTTTGCAAACTCAGTGCATTTGCCTTTAAATGACAATATTAATATTCCTGAAAAACGTGGCTGAATTGGTCGAAGTTTATTGATGTTGAGCAGAGAGATCAACAAGAGAAAGGCTTTGTGGCTGACAGGAATACTCGGGGTATTACTTTTACTCTGACAGGGATATTAGCATGCTAATAGGAAATTATGTCAAACAGTTTGAAGGTCTGGTTGGTAAAAATCATAAAACACAACAAACTAAACCCGGTGACTGCCGAAGACCTGAAACCGTTCTCCGGTGTTCGTTTGCTCACACACTTGATGTGATTTACACCTGAACAGGTTTACTATTCTTTAGAAAATGTAAATGATGGTCTTTTTCTTTCCTTCTTGCCCGCTCGTTTTCAGTTTGGGTTAAAAATAAAATCTGAAGCCTTCCTTAAAGACTGTTCTTGTGCTGGTTGTAGTGCCCTTGTGGTCTCCGAGTGGCCTGTTGGAGTTTGTGCAGAGATGTTGATTAGCATTATGTAAAAATGTACTGAAGGTAGCGCTCCAGCAAAGTCGAAGGGAAATCAAGACCGTGTGGAGAGTGACACTCACGGAAAATCTTCACTTTGACCGTGGCCTGGGCCTCCTTGTCTCCATCTTTTGCCACACACTTGTAGATGCCAGCGTTGTCTACGTTGGCGTGGTAAATGGTGAGGATGGATGTGGTTTCATCGCTGCGGCTCACTGAAATGTTTGGCCTGGTGTGGAGGATCTTTTCACCGCTCGGCGCGTACCAGTCGATGTCTTTAACATCCCCGACCACTGAAGCATAAAAGGAACAGGAAGGCACATTGGTTCTGGTTAATATTATTCATGTAACTGAAACGTGGTTAGAGGTAAGGGGGAAGGTTTTATCTGTTTCAAAAATATAAAAACTGAAAAATATCATGATGAAATTCTGATTCTTCTGCATGAAATTCCACAAGTTAAAACCACAACCTCACCTTGGAAGTTAGCCCTAGCTCCAATCCTAATCACAAGTAACGTAAGATCTACCATTCCTAACTAACCCTGCATGCATCCATGTGCAGAACAGTCTTAGACAATCAATAAATATCCTTTTAAATGCAGTTCCACTAAAAAAGCACAGCCTCATGTGTCTTAAGGCCCGTTTCTTCATCGAAATTTCACAAAACCTTCCCGCTATGCCTGTGTCTCCGTTTTACTGGACCAGCCATATAGGACCACTAACCTGGAGCTTGTCCTCGGAAAGCCCCAGTAGAGTCACTTGGAAAGAGTTGTGGTTAGCTCACTCTGGTTGGTTATGACTCGGTATTCAATTCTATCAGCAGGCAGCAGAGTAGAATGAAGAAAACCCAACAAGCAGCATTGATGCTGCTGTAAAATCACCTTTTCTAAACTTCCAACACCAAGAAATGCAGTGGTAGCAGATGATCTGTCACCTTTGACCTTTAGCCTGGTGCTGCACAACCAGTAGGCTTTGATCACTGGACCTCAGGGACCTGCTGGGGGTGTAGGGACTAAGAAGATCACCAATGTAAGATGGTGCTTGTCCATGTAAGGCCCTATAGACCAGAACCAGGATCTTGAAATGAACCCTGAAGTTGACTGGCAGCCAGTGAAGCTGGAGGAGAAGCGGGGTGATGTGGGTGTGTTTGGAGGACTTGGTCAGAAGCCGAGCACAGGCGTTCTGAACCACCTGTAGACGGTTCAGGGAGGTTCTGCTCAGACACGTGAAAAGAGAGTTACAGTAGTCTAAGCGTGAGGAGATGAAGGTGTGGATGCACAACACAGAGCACTGTGAAAAACAGCAATTCTTCTGGTCTTTGAATGCCCCTTCTTACGTCACACAACCTCTCCAGGTCCTCTGTGGCATACTTTAACAGAATTTAACACTTTTTTGAGTTGATAATATTCATGGATGCCTTTTTTGCTGATTGGTGACATCACTCACTGCAGAAACTGTCACCATACGCTGACATCGTAGCAAAATCCTGAAAGGGCCGATTTTGTACGGCCAAGAGGACCGAGCCACTGCCCTGTTACCATCCTACCTTCTGGATATTTCCCAGAAGTCCTCTGTTGGAAACTTCTAGATCATCACCGTCTCTCCAGCCCTCTTCCTCACCTGGATGAGATCCCATCGTCCCACTGCTTCTACATAATAAACTCTTTTCCCCGCTTGCAGTTCTTCTCATTTCACCTGACTTGTACCAGTTTTATCAAGTGACGTCACTTACTGCTGCTGATACTGTTGTATGAGGTGAAATTTGCATCATGCCGAGTTTAAGGAGGTATGTTTGACTCTTACCTTCGCAGAGGAAAAACTTGGACTCTCCCACGCTGATTTCGCCTTGTGCTGGAGTGATTTCCACCTGAATGGCAGCTGAGCAGAGAGAAGATAAAGAAGAAGAAGAAGAGAAAACAAATATATACATTAGATTTTGATTTGATTAAAGGGGATAGTGACACTGGAGCAAAGCCCCCAGGAAGGTGCTGCTCAAAGTTACACTGCCTTTTATTTTGCTCACTGATTTATTGATTTCTACATCATTGTAACTGAGCCTTTGAGTTTAATCCAAGTCAAACATTTGTAATGTTTTTTAACACATTCAGTTGTTTTGAATTTTCTGTGAGTTTCAAGGATTTCACCAGCTACCGCTCGGCGCCAGAAGACTCTAGATGGCACGTGAAGACAATCAGCTGATAAGTAAGACCTTTAACTGTAATACCGAGTTGGTGGGAATTAGAAAAACAGCTTAAAATATTTTTTGTTTGTTTCTAATTCATCATTAGCATGCTAGCTGAAGGTTAGCCTCTGACCTTCTTCACCCAATATTGGAGAAAACAAAAATATGTTTATGTTTATTCATTTAGCAGACGCTTTTATCTAAAGCGACTTACGATTTATAACCTATAGGGCATGTTGTGATCTGTGGGGGAAACCGGAGTACCCGGAGGAAACCCACGCATGCATGAGGAGAACACGCAACTCCATGCAGAAAGGCTGCAGCCGAGTTTCGAACCTGCAACCTTCGTGCTGCGAGGCAACAGTGCTAACCACTGCACCACCATGCAGCCCTGTTGTGGCTTCTTAGGGGTGCAAGGAATAATGTGTGGGTCACTCCTGTTTTCTGGCTTAGGACCTTTATAAAACACCGCGGCATTTTTCTGGCCAGAGCAAAAATAGACCGGTGCTGATTCAGCGACCCCGCAGTCACAGGTTGTAAACAAAGACTACGTCCCTCTTTGGCCAAAGAGAGAAAACTGTTCCAATGGACCCTTCCTTCCAAAATAATTCAGAAATTAGACTTTTCAGTGATTATTTCATTGTAACATTTTACATATTGTACCTTTAATAAACAGCAGCACATTAAACTGCACAAGCCTCATGAAAACACAAGAAACTTGTGAGTTTAGCCCTTGTAACCTCTGAAAAATGTGCATCATGTAGAGGGCTTTACAAAATAAAAGCATGCTAAACAAGTTTAATAACATTTTTGTAGTCTGGAGCCAAAAGTGAAATTAAAATTAATGGCACAGCCCAAGTCCCACTCCAGTTTTTGGATCCAGGGATACAACATACACACTGATTAGGTTCCTGAAGGTTAAAAACAAGACTTGACTGAACCTTTCCAGATGCTCTCCTTGTTTTCCTCACCCCTAGCTGCTCTTGGCAGGTGATTTAAAAACACCTTAAATCAATGAATCTGCTTTTTTTCCAAGACTCCAATGCACTCCAGCGTTAACTAAGCAACAGGAACACAGCCACGATACAGAGAAACACCTGGTGTTTGCTCAGCCCTGCGCCCCGACAGAATAAAAGTCCTGCAGTATAAATCAAACCTGTTTAAAATGCTAATCAGCCAATCATCACCTGTACTTGTTCATCAGCATTAGAAGGAATGAGAGAACCTTTGAAGGTGTGACACGATTTTACTGTAACCCTTTTATCTTCAAAACTCTGTAATAGAAGTGAAAGCACAGCCTGCATCGTGATCCAGGTCTTCACAGCAAAAAGAATCCAACTGAGGCTCCTGGGGGTCGCCACTTCACACACACGAGTTCGTCGGTCGCCGCTCGGCTCTCACCGGGAGCGTCACCGGAATGTTTGGCAAGGACCTGTCAGGTAGCCAGCTATCGTCCCGGCACAAGATGACATCGATGTTTCCTAATGCGACAGTCGCAGAACATGTGTGACTGGGGGGGGGGGGGGGGGTCCTCACAGCAGAGGCCTTTGTTGCTCTTCTTTTCCAACAGTTGTTTGATTTAAAAAGGCTTCAAAATTATGGTGGGAAGGTTCATTCCAGCCTAAACGATGAGATGTGATGCCCTTTAGGCCCTTATATATAGCAACTCTTCAGGCGTTAGATAAATGAAACTATTTTAATGTAAAACTATCAGATCTGGTGTGGATTTTGCACGATAGTTTTTCTTGGCTTTAAAAACAACCATTTCCTACCTCAGTCCAACTCCTGCATTTGAGTCACTGTCTCTTATTTCTTAAGAAATATTCCTCATGAGGCATGGATTGTTTCAGAATAAGAGCCACACTAATGCAGCCTAGAAGTCCAGACAAACAGGAGCCAGAGCAGGATGATTTTGCTCTGCATGTTGGTCGAGCCACGCTCCACTGGAACCGTAGCACCCCAGGCCAGTTTTATGTCCAGCCAATCACAGCGCTCTTTGAGTCAAGAGCAGATAGAGCTACGTTAGTCCTTTATTTAGGAAAAGGATGCATTTGCGTCTCTTTGACAGTGCAAGGTGGACTGCCCCGCTGACTGACTGTAGCAGCGAGTACGTGGGTGTCTGTTGTCCAACAGCACGTGGAGACAGCTAGAGAGACTCCGTCCCACACGGAGATCCATCCATGGATCGTGGCCAGGAGATATATTCCCACATACAGGATCGCTTGCTAGGCTAACGTTGATGTGTTTTGGTGAGAGCTTTCCAATTCACTACATTAGGGACAATTTTTATACTAAAAGTTACGTTTAATCACATTATTGATTATTATTATTTACACAAAACTCACGAGACTTCCATCAAGTTAATTTGATGCAAAAACCTTATCAGAAAGTAAAGGTAGCCTGCCTACCAGAGAGTGAGAGAAAATCATGATTGACAGAAAAAAAATCAAATTAAGGATTTATTCTGAAGGGTCAAAACAGAATGAAGTGTCTCATTCACTCAATAATATTCATGTTAAGCGAACATCTAGCTTCTGTTGGCTAACAGCAATGCAACTCTTCCACTGCCTGCATCAACACAACTCTAAATACCATAAAACACATTTTCCTGGTTGAAATTTTCTAAATCGATGCATCGTCTCCACAAACAACCCTGAATATTTCGCCATCTTGTGGAGTTGCTATTGCTAATGGTTAGCTTCTACTAGCTGAGAAACGCTGTGCTCTCTGGTGTTGAAAGGAATGGCTTCATCTTTTCCTGTGGCTAATGCAGGTGACGGAGGTTAATAAAACATTTAATGTGCAGCACTCCTACGCATGTCACTGATCGTATTTCAAAAACAACAAGTAGCTAAAAAATGATTTCTATGTGAACTTGGCCTTTAGTGCAAAAATAAAATGACACCCAAACTAAAAGCTTCCTACCAACTCAGCCACAGCAGTGAATAACGATGTGTGATGCATCAGTGATATTCCTGAAATAAAAATAAACTCTGAGCATTTATCTTCAGCAGGAATGTGACGCAACACTTGCCTGTAGAATCCCTGGCTGCTACGTTGCACACATGCTACTGGAACCTTTCTGACAGCATCTTCTCACACTTTTAATTCTTTGTGCGTCGTGATTTTTGCATCCGTTTGTAATTAAAGTTGTCATCATCAAACATCTTAAAACTGCTGAGAGACCTGTCCTCTGACATCACACAGGCGTTGCAGCTGAGTGGACAGCCTGTGTGAAGGTGGATCATAAATGATGCACTCTCTTTTTACCTTTAGAGCCAGACATGACATGTGCATTGCACCACAATTTTTAAGGCATTGGAAAATAAATCCGGCAGAAATTTTAAACAATGAAATCCATCTGAATGGGCTACAAGTAACCAAGGGAGGTTTATTCCTATAGGGTTAAATACGTCAGATAAATTTAGATTCTCTTAAAGAAAGGCCTGTTCCTGCCTCGCAGCTGACCTAGCCTTTGTTTCAGACTAATGTGAAGGTTTGGAATAACGGAAAAGCACTACCCTCCATGTGTTTGCTTACGCAGGCCAGAGGTAGAAACAAAGACAACACCATATCCATTTCCTTCCCCATCTAGTAGGATCACAGACGCTGTGGTGTAAACTCTAACCAAGTCTCATAAGACTCAGATGACTGGCCAAAAATCAGATGATCAGATCTGCAAACCCAAAGACAACAAAAACAAGCTCAGGTGGTGTGGGAACGGGAGCTATTCCCAGCAGGTTTTCCCTGATTTTGCCTCTGAAGGCCTTTTGGGGATTGTCTCCACAAAGAAGAAACTGTTCAGTCTCATGAAAAAATAATACTTTTTTAAAGCTAAAATATATATGTGCAATAAAAAAGTTGAATTAGTTGAACAATAAATTTAATGTAGCAAAGTTAAGAGCTTTGAAACCTCCAATAAACAAGATGGATGCAACATTTCAGCCGAAATTTGCTGCTAATTTCATCACTTGTGGTAAAGCTGAAATCCCCCGAGTTCCTGGGACATTAAAGGAGAAGTGTGTACAGCTACTGGCAAGACACCTGGAACCATTAAACACCGGGAACTCGATGAGTTACTGAAGGAGGTAGTAGTACCAGCTTGATGAAACAATCGCTCTATCCTTTTTTCTTTAATCTGCTTTTTTCTGTTTACAGTCTCCAGCAGTCACTGGGCGGTAGGCAGCCAGGTAGGGGACATCCTGGCCTAGACAGGTCACAAGTCCATCACAGGGCCACATGGAGACACTAAACCATTAACATGTCCTCAAAGGTCAACTTAGAGTTGCCAGTTCACCAAACAGCTGTTTGTTTTTGGTCAGTGAAAAGAAACCAGAGAAACCAGAGAAAACCTTACGATGGGAATGAAGCAGAAAGGTCCCAACCTTTGCAAGACAACAGAGCAAACCAGTGTTTTAAGGAGAATACAATAAGTGTGGATGCCGATACTCGTAATGTCAAACAAATGTAGTGTTGATAACCTCATAGATTTATTGTAAAGAAAGAAGCAGGGTAATTTGGCCTTAAAAGGGAAGATTTTTGAGTTTTATTTGATTAGAAACTCAAAGATGAGTCAATTTCTGTAAAATAAATGTTTAGTAAATGCAAGAAAAACACTTAGAAAGCAACGCTTGACTGCTGAGATCTAGGGTTATTACCAGGTGAAATAAAAATTTATCCATCTATTCACTTTTGC